TTTAAGCGCCAAAGTCGCAATATTGCGACAAGCAACATTGCTCACTTAAACAGGCTGTATCTAAAAATGTGGTGCAGAATCTTGTTAATACTTTTCACCAGGGGTTAGTGGACATGTGTGCCTGTAATATGAGCAACATTTGTGGGTGTGGTTATATTGAAAGTTTTTGAGTAAATTGAGTTCGTAAAACACCTGCGGCGCTGCAGCGCGGAGGCGAAGCAGCAGCGGTAGAGCTGAGAGGAGCGAGAGCAGAGCAGAGGGAGAGAGGGTTTTTTATTTACTCACGAGGTCTTCAGTACCAGAGAAGTACTTGGTCTGGTACTGGCTCACTCAGATTCAGAGGAGGAAGACACACAGGTGTCCAGTGAAGCAGACACGGACATTATTGGTGACGGGGAGACAGCGCTCCATAGTCCACAATCAGCCCATGTGCAGCGGCTGCTTGTCCTCCGTGTGGCCGCGGTAGAAGCATTCTGTGAACGCCAAGCAGGATCCGTGGTGGAGGGGACAGGGGCATCATAACACCGGGCATGTGGGAGAAAGTAGCGGGGGTAGACATCCACGGGGAACACGGGAGACGCGGGAAAAAAAACACATTGCTAATCGCGTTCACTGCCTTTACCAGCAGCGATGATGAGGATGAAGGCAGTTCTTGAGAGAAAATAATCCACAAAAGTGGATCAGAAGTGTTGAAGAGCCTGTTGTTTCTTGTTGAGACGATCTGACAAGTTCTGAGCCCATTCATTTCATCTCTCTGTTTCTACACGGTAAATCCTGGAGCCTCATTTCCACTGAGAAAAATAGTAAGCCCACTACTTCTTTGAAAGGGAAATATTGAAACCAATCTCTAGATTTCATGACTGTAAACTATAAAGAGTGCAGTCTTGATCACTGAAGGTCTTTGAAAATAATACAATTCCATATGGCCGCGAACCAGTGCTAAAACATTATCTATAATCTGGATCAGGGAATTTATTTCTATCCAAAATTCATTTCATACTAAAGATATTTCACATTGACTGTTTATAGTATTCCCTGATCTCAAATAACTCCCAAGCTACAGCTTTTTGAAGTCTTTCTACAATAATTAACATTTTCCAAAATGGCCGCCACCTTGATGACGTCACAATATGCAAATTAGATGACGAATCAACTTCCATCCCAAAGTTTGGTTCAAACTGAAGATATTTCTAATTTACAGTATGCCTTTACCTCAAACCATTTTAAAGTTACAGCCTTTTGAAATCTTGAAATCAAAGTTGTATATTTTCTTGAAAAAACTCTGGCGCCTAAAGGGTTAAGCAGTACTAGCTTTTTTTACTTTCTTGTCTTATTAAAAGAACCTTTAAAGCCTTAAACATAAGAAGACAAAATTAACTTTTTACATTTTATATCATACGTTAGTTGGGCTAAAAAAATCTACAAAAAAAGAATGCGTCCTCTTTTTCCTGCATTTGATACATCTCATTTTCGAGAAAAATATTAAACCCTACTGTGCAGTGAGAGAACTGAGCTTCTCTTAATGGTGCCATATTACGCTTTTAGACTTTTGTCTGCTTTAAACATCATTCCAGTGCTATTTCGCCTACACATGTCCAGAGTAGTTTTTGCATTGATTCCTTCAAGCTTTAAGGTGCGTTCAGACCAAACGCGTTTTCTGCGGCAAAATCGCGTCTGACGCGCGTCTTGGGATGCTTGTGACAGATTGTGGCAGACGCTGTCACAGAGCATCTTGGAGGCGCGTCACACGCGTCCAGGACACTAGAGGGCAGCGTTCTGGAGGCGCGTCAAGGAAGAGCGTTTTGAGGCAGGCCTGCTCTGTTGCCAACACAACTCGGAGAGGGAACGACACGGGAGCCAGGATTAAGGTAAAAAGTGTAAAATACGCTTTAATTAGGACATAAAAGTTAATTCTAATAACATTTGAGGCGAGGAATACCCCCTTTTATTGTCATATCGGAGGTCTGTTTGGGGATCAAATAGAACATTGTCGGACTTTTCTCCAGTGCAGAGAGCGGGGGTCGGGCAGTGCTCAAGCTGTTATAACAATTGTATTGGCAGTAATCATTCGTTTTTATAAAGTCATATTGTATGTAAACAATGCACATATATGCGATAAATGATTTATGCTTGATTTATTTGCTATGGCCTTCGTTTGTGCATCACTAACATAAATGTAATAACGTGTGTTTTCTGATGAGAAAGGAATATCCATGGATCTATAATAATAATATCCATGGATCTATAATAATAATATCCATGGATCTATAATTATAATATCCATGGATCTATAATAATAATATCCATGGATCTATAATAATAATATCCATGGATCTATAATTATAATATCCATGGATCTATAATAATAATAACCATGGATCTATAATAATAATATCTATGGATCTATAATAATAATATCCATGGATCTATAATAATAATATCCATCGATCTATAATTATAATATCCATGGATCTATAATAATAATATCCATGGATCTATAATTATAATATCAATGGATCTATAATAATAATAACCATGGATCTATAATAATAATATCCATGGATCTATAATAATAATAATATCCATGGATCTATAATTATAATATCCATGGATCTATAATAATAATAATATCCATGGATCTATAATTATAATATCCATGGATCTATAATTATAATATCCACGGATCTATAATTATAATATCCACGGATCTATAATTATAATAACCATGGATCTATAATAATAATATCCATGGATCTATAATAATAATATCCATGGATCTATAATAATAATAACCATGGATCTATAATAATAATATCCATGGATCTATAATAATAATATCCATGCATCTATAATAATAATAACCATGGATCTATAATTATAATATCCATGGATCTATAATAATAATATCCATGGATCTATAATAATAATATCCATGGATCTATAATAATAATATCCATGGATCTATAATAATAATATCCATGGATCTATAATAATAATATCCATGGATCTATAATAATAATATCCATGGATCTATAATTTTAATATCCATGGATCTATAATAATAATAATATCCATGGATCTATAATTATAATATCCATGGATCTATAATAATAATAACCATGGATCTATAATAATAATATACATGGATCTATAATAATAATAACCATGGATCTATAATTATAATATCCATGGATCTATAATTATAATATCCATGGATCTATAATAATAATATCCATGGATCTATAATAATAATATCCATGGATCTATAATAATAATAACCATGGATCTATAATTATAATATCCATGGATCTATAATATCCATGGATCTATAATAATAATATCCAGGGATCTATAATAATAATATCCATGGATCTATAATAATAATAACCATGGATCTATAATTATAATATCCATGGATCTATAATTATAATATCCATGGATCTATAATAATAATATCCATGGATCTATAATTATAATATCCATGGATCTATAATAATAATATCCATGGATCTATAATAATAATATCCATGGATCTATAATTATAATATCCATGGATCTATAATAATAATATCCATGGTTCTATAATAATAATATCCATGGATCTATAATAATAATATCCATGGATCTATAATAATAATATCCATGGATCTATAATAATAATATCCATGGATCTATAATAATAATATCCATGGATCTATAATAATAATATCCATGGATCTATAATAATAATATCCATGGATCTATAATTATAATATCCATGGATCTATAATAATAATAATATCCATGGATCTATAATTATAATATCCATGGATCTATAATTATAATATCCACGGATCTATAATTATAATATCCACGGATCTATAATAATAATAACCATGGATCTATAATAATAATATCCATGGATCTATAATAATAATATCCATACATCTATAATAATAATAACCATGGATCTATAATTATAATATCCATGGATCTATAATAATAATATCCATGGATCTATAATAATAATATCCATGGATCTATAATAATAATATCCATGGATCTATAATAATAATATCCATGGATCTATAATTTTAATATCCATGGATCTATAATAATAATAATATCCATGGATCTATAATTATAATATCCATGGATCTATAATAATAATAACCATGGATCTATAATAATAATATCCATGCATCTATAATAATAATATCCATGGATCTATAATAATAATATACATGGATCTATAATAATAATAACCATGGATCTATAATTATAATATCCATGGATCTATAATTATAATATCCATGGATCTATAATAATAATATCCATGGATCTATAATAATAATATCCATGGATCTATAATAATAATAACCATGGATCTATAATTATAATATCCATGGATCTATAATATCCATGGATCTATAATAATAATATCCATGGATCTATAATAATAATATCCATGGATCTATAATAATAATAACCATGGATCTATAATAATAATATCCATGGATCTATAATAATAATATCCATGGATCTATAATAATAATAACCATGGATCTATAATTATAATATCCATGGATCTATAATAATAATATCCATGGATCTGTATTATAACGGACATCAGTGAAAAGCAGTTGAACACAGGAAAGGCCTAGAACTGCTCTTTTTGAAGTCTTGAAAAGCAACAGACTGTTACTGATCAGATTAGAGTTGAATGTGTTCCATTAGAACTTTAAGTACTGCTGACAAATATGTACCTGTGTCAATAATACCTTATCTTTCATCACTCTTTACACTTCAGACACAAAACACTACATTATAAAAACACCAACAAGTTTTATTTTTTATTTTTTATTTCCAGGCTCTTTATGAAGGTGTCAGAGGCAGACGCCCAGGACTCTGCTGCTGCTCCTGCTGCTCCTCGTCTTCAGAGATCCAGATCCCACTGTTCTAACTATTCATGACTGATGATTAAATAAAACATGAAAATATGTTTGTTGTAGTTCATATTGTTAATCCGCAGTGAAGCAGGAGGTGATGGAGGTGATGGAGGTGAAGCAGGAGGTGATGGAGGTGATGGAGGTGAAGCAGGAGGTGATGGAGGTGAAGCTGGAGGTGAAGCAGGAGGTGATGGAGGTGAAGCAGGAGGTGATGGAGGTGAAGCTGGAGGTGAAGCAGGAGGTGATGGAGGTGAAGCAGGAGGTGAAGCAGGAGGTGATGGAGGTGAAGCAGGAGGTGATGGAGGTGAAGCAGGAGGTGAAGCAGGAGGTGATGGAGGTGAAGCAGGAGGTGATGGAGGTGAAGCAGGAGGTGATGGAGGTGAAGCTGGAGGTGAAGCAGGAGAAACAATGCCGTGTGATTTTGTGGCTGTCAGAGAAAGTTCCATTTCACCAAGTCTCTGAAAAAGAACAAACATCATGTTAAAACATGGACACTGAGGAGTAACAGACACTGAGGAGTAACAGACACTGAGGAGGAACAGACACTGAGGAGAAACAGACACTGAGGAGTAACAGACACTGAGGAGGAACAGACACTGAGGAGGAACAGACACTGAGGAGAAACAGACACTGAGGAGTAACAGACACTGAGGAGTAACAGACACTGAGGAGGAACAGACACTGAGGAGGAACAGACACTGAGGAGAAACAGACACTGAGGAGAAACAGACACTGAGGAGAAACAGACACTGAGGAGAAACAGACACTGAGGAGAAACAGACACTGAGGAGGAACAGACACTGAGGAGAAACAGACACTGAGGAGAAACAGACACTGAGGAGAAACAGACACTGAGGAGAAACAGACACTGAGGAGAAACAGACACTGAGGAGGAACAGACACTGAGGAGTAACAGACACTGAGGAGAAACAGACACTGAGGAGGAACAGACACTGAGGAGAAACAGACACTGAGGAGTAACAGACACTGAGGAGGAACAGACACTGAGGAGAAACAGACACTGAGGAGGAACAGACACTGAGGAGTAACAGACACTGAGGAGGAACAGACACTGAGGAGAAACAGACACTGAGGAGAAACAGACACTGAGGAGTAACAGACACTGAGGAGGAACAGACACTGAGGAGAAACAGACACTGAGGAGTAACAGACACTGAGGAGAAACAGACACTGAGGAGAAACAGACACTGAGGAGAAACAGACACTGAGGAGGAACAGACACTGAGGAGTAACAGACACTGAGGAGAAACAGACACTGAGGAGTAACAGACACTGAGGAGTAACAGACACTGAGGAGAAACAGACACTGAGGAGAAACAGACACTGAGGAGGAACAGACACTGAGGAGAAACAGACACTGAGGAGAAACAGACACTGAGGAGGAACAGACACTGAGGAGTAACAGACACTGAGGAGAAACAGACACTGAGGAGAAACAGACACTGAGGAGTAACAGACACTGAGGAGGAACAGACACTGAGGAGAAACAGACACTGAGGAGTAACAGACACTGAGGAGAAACAGACACTGGGGAGAAACAGACACTGAGGAGAAACAGACACTGAGGAGAAACAGACACTGAGGAGAAACAGACACTGAGGAGGAACAGACACTGAGGAGAAACAGACACTGAGGAGAAACAGACACTGAGGAGGAACAGACACTGAGGAGTAACAGACACTGAGGAGAAACAGACACTGAGGAGGAACAGACACTGAGGAGAAACAGACACTGAGGAGTAACAGACACTGAGGAGGAACAGACACTGAGGAGAAACAGACACTGAGGAGTAACAGACACTGAGGAGGAACAGACACTGAGGAGGAACAGACACTGAGGAGTAACAGACACTGAGGAGAAACAGACACTGAGGAGTAACAGACACTGAGGAGAAACAGACACTGAGGAGTAACAGACACTGAGGAGGAACAGACACTGAGGAGAAACAGACACTGAGGAGTAACAGACACTGAGGAGGAACAGACACTGAGGAGAAACAGACACTGAGGAGGAACAGACACTGAGGAGGAACAGACACTGAGGAGAAACAGACACTGAGGAGAAACAGACACTGAGGAGGAACAGACACTGAGGAGAAACAGACACTGAGGAGGAACAGACACTGAGGAGAAACAGACACTGAGGAGAAACAGACACTGAGGAGAAACAGACACTGAGGAGAAACAGAAGAATAATATAATGGAAATATACACACAAATAAAACTTAGAAGCGTGGCTAACCACTTTAAAGCTTTTGGAAGTGAGACTCATCTGCAAATGTCCTTTATTAATGACAAAAGAAACATGTGTATAATGTGCTCTTATTTCATTATATTTATCAGACTATTGTATGAAAAGTGCTTCATAATAAGACATTTATATACAGTAAATGTTAATTATACAGTATTCACTGTCTTAGTATGGGATTATAAATTATATACACAATCTATTTTATATGAATACAGATAACAGTGTTAGCATACTACATGTTAGAATACTACATGTTAGCATACTACATGTTAGAATACTACATGTTAGCATACCACATGTTAGCATACTACATGTTAGAATACTACATGTTAGCATACCACATGTTAGCATACTACATGTTAGCATACTACATGTTAGCATACTGCATGTTAGCATACCGCATGTTAGCATACCACATGTTAGCATACTACATGTTAGCATACTACATGTTAGCATACTACATGCTAGCATACTACATGTTAGCATACTACATGTTAGCATACTACATGTTAGCATACTACATGTTAGCATACTGCATGTTAGCATACCGCATGTTAGCATACCGCATGTTAGCATACCACATGTTAGCATACTACATGCTAGCATACTACATGCTAGCATACTACATGTTAGCATACTACATGTTAGCATACCACATGTTAGCATACTACAGCTGCTGTCTCCATGGACTGTTTCCTCTGTGTAGCTTTAATATGTAATCTGTGGGTTTGTTTCTCCCTAAAGATGACATTACAGATATTGTTCAGGGAAGTATTAGTGATTGTGGAAAGTTTAAATAACTGACCAGAGACACCTCCTCACTGACCTCCTCCATGTCACGGTGGTTATAGTCTGCAGGGCTCATGGGCTAACCACACAGCTTGTCCTCCACAGCTGTTGTGTTGTCGTCCCCCTCGGTCCTGCCGTGAAATGCGTTACGTCACTGTTGGAGGAGGCTCCTGATTGGTAGACGCTCTCGTCTTCAATGTTGAACTTCAAAAAGTTCAACATTGTTCAACTCGAGCGTCGGCTGCGCGTCACTCGCGTCAAGACGCTTGAAATCTCAAAACGCGCCGCACCAAACGCTTGAAGACGCGCTGCTCGGGAGGCGCGTGACGCGCCGCGTGATCTCTTGACGCTCCTAGACGCGTGTCCCCCATGTTATGTCAATGTAAACCCGACGCTTTGGACGCTCAAGACGCGTTTGGTCTGAACGCACCTTTAGTTACAGAGCCAATCTCTCACTTTCACCCCTGAGATGATGAGGACAAACATCGGTCCTTTGACCTGTTCTTCTCCATAGACCAGTGGTTCTCAAAGTGGGGTATGCGTACCACTAGGGGTGCGCAGGGCTCCCTCTAGTGGTACGCCAAACAATCACTGGAAAAAAAAAAGTATGAATTTTTATTTATTTAACCAGGTAAGTACCATTGAGATTAACTCATTGACGTCAATTGACGTCAACATTGTTTTTCAATCTTTTCCTGTCCCTCTGTCTCCACTGTATCATACAGTCTGGGGTTTGGCTGTAGACAGTATTTTATTGAACCAGCAGGTGGCAGCAGAACTCCCTGGCTTGGTCCAAGATCACTGCCTGAGCACTCTGAGCAGGAGAGACAGAGGTGAAGCAGACATGGAGTAATATAGTCAGGGTCAGGCTACATTTGGAGGCAGTTTGAGCAGTAAATGTGTCTCCAGAGCTGACAGAGACCATGTGGAGGGTCAGAGCAGCAGACCATGTGGAGGGTCAGAGCAGCAGACCATGTGGAGGGTCAGAGCAGCAGACCATGTGGAGGGTCAGGGCAGCAGACCAAGCCACAGAAAAGTGGACTATTGCTAAAACTATCACCGAGTCCGCACCAGGAGCCAGCGTCAAAGTCCAATTATGGTCACAGCGCTCGCTGGACTAAACAGAACGACACTTTGTAGACGTAACCACACAAACACACACAAACGTGCACATAAACGCACATACATGCCCAAACACACAAAAACACACAATAATATTCTATTGCACTATAGTATAAGTATATTGTCTGTTCACTTTGATTTATTGAGTTATTGACAAAAATATAGTGCCTGGACATGTTTGAGGAGATGCTAAAGTTAAACTAAATAGTGTTACAGGTCCTTTTCTGCAGGTTCGTCTATTTTCACAAACACTTTGACTGGTGCTTTTTGGCACACTTCCCTCTTTTCGACTGGAGATTACAGGAGAACAAAACAAGCTAGAAACAAACTTCTTTTTGCTGCTGAAAATAGACAGTCCTGTCTTTCAGATTCTGTATATATCTGGTCATATTCTTCATAGTCAAACCACACAATATTCTGTGAGTCTTGAAAATCAGTGAAGTTATCAAAAATGGCTGGCAGTCAATGAGAACCTCTTTTTTCTGTAGTCCTGTAAAAAAATGACATAAAATTGTTACATACAGATTATAAAATAGTCACATCCATGCTATGGACAGCAGTGTGGGGGTTTAAAATGTGGCGGCCCTAGTGGTATGCAATTTAAAAAAAAAATTCATATACATTATATACATTTTATTCAATAATCATTCACATTATTATTTTTTACAGCATGGGAAAATGCGTTTGGAATCAGTGTCACAATTATTACAGGCTGTTCTTCTTCTCCCGAGTCCTTCAAGTAAAAAAATCAAGACCCTTACACTAGTTGATATTACTTTATTTTCATTTTCCGTGTATTAGGTGTTAGGCCTAATAGCGTTGATTCAGGAAGAGCGCAAACTACAACTCATTCCTTTAAATCCTTCTCACATTTATAGATGGGCCTTCGAGTGGTGCGGATGCATCCAGAAATAAACATCAACAAACTGTAAGTTAACTCACTAATTTACCGGTTTACATAGAAATAGTGTTTGAAGTGTATTTTTTTTTAGAACCAACCAGAAATCGGGGGGGGGGAAAAGGCTTCAGATTCACTCCATAGTAAGTATGTTTCTACAATCTAGCATTTTTGCTTTTTACAAAACACTTAATGACCCAATAATTTTTCAACCTTTTTAAAATGAAAATGACTGAAAAGTTAGACTGCTGGAACGGGACAACCTTTTGAAACTTTTACATTTTAAAGTTAGGGTTACAAAATGTGCATTTATTATTCATAATAATGCATTAAGTAGGTGTTAATATGACAAAACATGTGAGGACGGATTAAGATGATAATTTGAAGAAGTTTAAACGATGTTCAGAAATAACGTGAGCATGTTGTGTCTAATTGGGCATGAGGCTTCATGTGCGGCCTTCGTTACAACCCCTTATGATATAGTTCCCAAAGGATTCAAGATTTTAACTAGGGCTGTCATTAACTAACTAAATTAAATGTTTCATTAACGCGTTAAAAAAAATTAACGCATTAACGCATGTCCGAATGACCCGCCCATTTATCCATAATATCACTCGGAATGCTGCGTGTGAGATGCATCAGAGCAGGTCTCTGGGAATTAAGTTTTAAAAGAATACGCGCGTGACCGCAGGGCTGTTGTTTGCTGTGAACTGAAGTCCGCCTCCTCCGCGGTCGCTCTGACTGTGAGCCGCTCACAACAACACGGCTGTGAGCCGCTAACAACAACACGGCTGTCCGCAAATCTAACCTGTCTCTGAACCTCCCGATGACTGGCCTTACTCTGAGAAACACTGTTCCCACTGCTGACCCTGTGCAAAGTGTCTAAAGTTAGTGTTTGGTGCGCTATAACACTCGCAGGCTGCCCTCGCAGCTGCATTCGCTTCACAATGATCACCGCACTGGTTCAACGCGGTCTTGCTCAAATATTTTGTATGAGAGCATGTAGTTTTTTGGGGCCAGGGAGGTAGTCTGACATGTCTGCTAACTAGTGGCAGGGAGTATGAAGGAATTTTGACACTCCGTCCGTTTTAAACAGTACCGCAGCTTGTCGACTTAAGTCGACCGTGGCGCCTAGAGGGTTAAGTACATTTGGTCTGAATGACAATGTGTCATTACTTTTGATAATCTCATTTAACTTCATTTGGAGTGGATTTGATATAGAATGTTAAAAATGTGATTAATCGTGAGTTAACTCACCATTTCTGTCCGCTTAATCAACTAAAAATGTTTAATCGTTTGACAGCCCTAATTTTAACACATGATCCTGAGGTATTCACTTTTGAGTCATTGCATATCTATTTTAAATATAAATCTTTTCATTAATGCAGGTATACTGTGCTGTATAATGGTATATTACGCAATTGCGACTGCTTAAAGGAGTAACTCTGCCATTCCTGTTCCATAAAGGAGCTCTCCAATCAAATAGGTTGGAGATGGACAATGATATGCTAAGTTCAACTCAAAACAATACAATACAATTTATTCTTGTATAGCCCTAAATCACAACAGTAGTCATCTCAGAGGACTTAACAAAACCATTGAAATCACCAACACAGATCAGAGAATCAACAGTTAAGACACAAAAAAGGATATAGAACACATGTTGATAAATGTCATACATGTTGTAGAATGTTAAAGTATCCTGGATCATCACCACATTGTTTTTGTTGGACACTAACTGTCCAACAAGACCCTTCTGCATCGGCAAGGAAAAACTCCCAAAAAAAAGCAGTCGGAAAAAAGTGAGAAGCCTCAGGGAGATCCACATTGAGAGAGGGATCCGCTCCACACGGACAGACGGGCTGTAGATCCAGGACCTAAGCTACAGAACGTGGACCAGGGCCACGCAGCGGCTGCAGAACGTGGACAGGTCCGGCAGGACTGTAGCAGCTCCAAGGCGGGTCGGGCGCAGGTGTAGATGAAGGAGGCCAGGCTCAGAGGTCCCGTCGTTTAGGTCTTTTATGCAGGCACTGAGCCTTTTCAACTGATCCGTCTGATTTGGTTTCATCAACAGGTAAAGTGTCATCTGCATAGCAGTCGAAGTTAATTCCATGCTTCTTAATGATTTCTTCAAGGTATATAGGAGGATTTTCTACTTCTGGGTGGATCATAAAAACTATTGGGCCTCCCAATTGTCAATCATTCTGGTCATACGTGCTCATCAAATAAGACCAGAGAGTTTTGCTCAAAAAGTGGAGAGGGTGATTCTTTCTTAAAATTTGGGAAAATCCTCCCATACCCCTTTAAGACACATTTTTACTCTCTGGCTTTTAATACTGTGGAGTTGTGTGGTCCTCTATTTATTTCATTGTTTTTAGTTTAACTTTCATTCACGATTAGGCCTGAGGACCAATGCTCTACCAACTGAACCACTTTCACCTTATATTTATTGCAAGTGTTTATATCTTTCCAGCTCCAGTGCAAAAGCCAATGAAGGTGCTCCCCATTGCCACAGCTCAGACTTATGGAGCTCAGCAGCAGATCTTGGAGCTGCTGACCTCTTACGGCATCAAGACTACAGATTACTTACAAGAGAGTGATGTCATTTTGCTCTTTTGTCCTATTCTGCCACAAACCGTGTCCTATTCTGCCACAAACCGTGCAGCCGTCAGAAAGACTCCAGGTTAGTTCTGAAAACTGTCTCTTTTCTTCTGAGACAAAGTCACCACATGAGCACAGAAGACTGGCTCAATAATACTTGTTTTTATTATTTCTTTTTTAGTTATTGTATACAAGGTTTGAAAATTAGAAAATCACCAATACGTGTTTCTCCTTAATGACCCAATACCCATTTTGAGTGAGCATTACATTTCCTGTATATGTCATTCCGAATTCAAACACAATATTTATATCTAAAGCCACAAATGGCAATAAAAACCCTCCCCCCTCCTTGTGCCCCGCCCATATGTGTAGCAGGAACCTGTGTTACACATATGGGTCCTCAAGTTAAAAGAATTTGAAGCCTGATCGGGCCAAGATCGTCATAACAAATTTAAAGGTTTCTGTGCTCCCCTGGTGGTCAGCAGTGGAACATATAGCCTCTCTGTATTGTAACATATTTATTTATAGATCACACTCGGCCAGGTGAAGGCAAACCGGTGGTGTCGGTTCTGATGCGTCAACGTTTTGACCCTGCTGACAAAGTCCTGGACACAAGCTGCTGTAGCACACAGCACCCCTGTTTAAAGGAGGAAGTGCGGGTGCTTTTCCATCAGACTTCAGGACTTCTGAAGTGCCACAGCAACCAGGAGGCAATGCAGACCCTCAAGACCCTCTGTGACAAGTATGCCACTCCAGGTCAGAAAACCTTCAATTAAAGTGTTCAACCAATGTAGTGTCATGTTCAATCCAACATGAAACACTACAAAAACCCAGGCCACGTGGCAGATTAAATGCACTGAATTTTCACACATATATCATAGATAATCAATGCAAAACTTCACTTCATTGTTAAAGCCATCACCTTTGAATCAAATTAGAACAAACATACTGTAATAATATCTCACTATTAGACATAACTCCACTCAACCTATCCCTGAAGAAACACCACTGCTTGAAAATGGTGCAAAACTGGAAATCATAACATGTCTGGTCAAAGGGGACGGTCTGACCGCCGTGTGCAGGAAAGAGAGAGGCCATGTGATTCACAGAGGAAAACAGACAGGAGCAGGCTTTATTTGGAGGCGGTTTGAGCAGTAAAGGTACAGTATCTCTAGAGCTGACAGAGATCATGTGGCGAGTCAAGGCAGCAGACCAGCGCTGCACGTCAAAAAAGCTACAGATAAGCGGACTATCGCTATTATTATCCCTGAGTGCACACCAGGAGCCAGCAGCAATGTCCGGTTAATGTCACAGTGCTCACTACTCTAAACAAAATGACATTGTGTAGATGTAACTACATAAATGCACACACATGCAACAAACACAGAAACACACAGCAGTATTCTATTGCATTTATATTATAGGTATATAGTCTGTTCACTTTGGTTTGGTCATTTATTGTGTTTATTGTTGTCATTTTGTTATTCTGTGATTCTGTCATTTACTACTATAGACATATAGATAGACACTTTCTTGATCCCCCATAGGAAAAATGCAGGTGTCCAGTATCAGCAGAAACACATCCATCCATACAAACCAAACAAATATAGTAGCTAACAATAGTTAGGTTTACCATTTTCCCTTTTCCGGTCCAGATTGATCAAACAAAAAACATTTGCATTCCTCCAGTGGCTCGCTGCTTGATCTGCTTGGAATTCTCTCTGCTCTGGTCTGGATCAGTGTTAAACTATGAACACTGTAATTTTTATTTTTCTGGCTTATTTCTACCAGTAAAAGGTAGAAAAAATTCAGAAAAATAAAAACTGTAATGTACAACACAAGAACTGTTTCAGAGCTACTAGGACTTGCTGCTGTTTCCAGACTTCCCTTCCCCAATCTTTCAGAATCTGGTTTCATATTTCACATATTTATAGTACACGATATTTTGTGGGTCTTGAACATTGTGAAATCATCAACAAATTCTGGCAGTCAATTAGTTAAGATACAGCAGGCATTTGAGGAAAAAAAAAGATTACTGGACAACATTTTAGAATTGATAAAAATATAAAAGTAAGTACATTCTCCACTCCTGCGCCTCTACCGTCCATGCATGCGTGCCGAGACCCACAAGCAGTTCCACGCTCGAACATATGTCACCATTGACTTTGCATTGCAAGCTGCCGCAACGCATGACCCGGTCTGAACGCCCCCTCTGTTAGACAACCATAAACTCCATTTATATCAAATATGGAAAAGTTATGCAAAAACAATACATCAAAAGCACAAATTGTGCCTAGGTCTGCACAAAATGTAAACACATGCAGTCTTTGCAGAAAAGGGATAATTGTTCTTTCCCACCAAATTCACTTTTGAGTCATTGCATATCTATTTTAAATATACATCTTTTCATTAATGCAGGGATACTGTGCTGTATAATGGTATATTACGCATGTGTGTTAATTGCGACTGCTTAAAGGAGTAACTCTGCCATTCCTGTTCCATAAAGGAGCTCTCCAATCAAATAGGTTGGAGATGGACAATGATATGCTAAGTTCAACTCAAAACAATACAATTTATTCTTGTATAGCCCTAAATCACAACAGTAGTCATCTCAGAGGACTTAACAAAACCATTGAAATCACCAACACAGATCAGAGAATCAACAGTTAAGACACAAAAAGGATATAGAACACATGTTGATAAATGTCATACATGTTGTAGAATGTTAAAGTGTCCTGGATCATCACCACATTGTTTTTGTTGGACACTAACTGTCCAACAAGACCCTTCTGCATCGGCAAGGAAAAACTCCCAAAAAAAAGCAGTGGGAAAAAAGTGAGAAGCCTCAGGGAGATCCACATTGAGAGAGGGATCCGCTCCACACGGACAGACGGGCTGTAGATCCAGGACCTAAGCTACAGAACGTGGACCAGGGCCACGCAGCGGCTGCAGAACGTGGACAGGTCCGGCAGGACTGTAGCAGCTCCAAGGCGGGTCGGGCGCAGGTGTAGATGAAGGAAGCCAGGCTCAGAGGTCCCGTCGTTGCGCCATGAAACTGACAATGGGACAACGGGTGAATAGCAATGAACAGACTACAGTCAAAATCCTAATAATGCAGACAGATAAAGTAGGAAGGAGGAGAGGATAGTGCTGAAGTTACCATACTTCTCCCAGCAAACTGACTCCCTATGCAGCTTGACTGACAGTCTGAGGAGTTTAGCCTTGCCTGAGTCTTACCTTCCTAACCATATGCTAAACTAAAGAGGACTGTTTTAAACCTAGCCTTGAATAAAGAGACCGCGTTTGATAGAAGGAGAGACAGCAGCCGCCAAGGCTAGGCTAGCCTAGGCTACAGCACCAAAGATTCGTGGATTACACACCAAGTGTGTAACCCAAACCAGACAACAACCTAACCATATGCTAAATTGAAGAAGAGTGTTTTAAGCCTGGCCTTGAATGTGGAGATTGTGTCTCCTTCCTTAACGTGAATGGGAAGCTGATTCCACAGTAAAGGAGCTTGGTAGCTAAATGCTCTGCCGCCAACAGTGCTTTTTGAGATTTTAGGAACCACCAGAAGTCTGGCGTTGTGCGAGCGCAGTGCTCGGTTTGGTTGATATGACACTAACGTGTCTTGAAGATAAGAGGGAGCCAAACCATTTATGGCTTTGTATGTTAAAAGAAGCATTTTAAACTTTATTCTGTATTTCACAGGAAGCCAGTGGAGGGATTTTAACACCGGAGTTATGTGCTCCCTCCTTTTGGTACCTGTTAAGATCCTAGCTGCTGTATTCTGAACGAGCTGGAAGCTCTTCAAAGAGGCTTTAGGGCACGCTGCCAGTAAAGCGTTACAGTCGTCAAGTCTTGAGGTGACAAAAGCGTGGATACGTTTTTCCGCGTCACTTTTAGGAAGGAAATTGGTGATTTTTTAGTGATATTCCGTAAGTGGAAATACGCAGTTTTTGTTGCTTGGCTTATATAAGCCTTGAAGGAGAGTTCTTCGCCGAAAATGACTCCAAGATTCCTCACAGTGTTACTGGGTATAATACTGACATTATCAGAGTGATTATCTGGTTAGTAAGGGAGTCACGCAGGCGCTTCGGACCGAGTAGGATCACTTCTGTCTTCTCCGGGTTGAGAAGTAGAAAGTTAAGGTAAAGTGTCATCTGCATAGCAGTCGAAGGTAATTCCATGCTTCTTAATGATTTCTTCAAGGTATATAGGAGGATTTTCTACTTCTGGGTGGATCATCAAAACTATTGGGCCTCCCAATTGTCAATCATTCTGGTCATACGTGCTCAACAAATAAGACCAGAGAGTTTTGTTCAAAAAGTGGAGGGTGATTCTTTCTTAAAATTTGGGAAAATCTTCCCATACACCTTTAAGACACATTTTTACTCTCTGGCTTTTAATACTGTGGAGTTGTGTGGTCCTCTATTTATTTCATTGTTTTTAGTTTAACTTTCATTCACGATTAGGCCTGAGGACCAATGCTCTACCAACTGAACCACTTTCACCTTATATTTATTGCAAGTGTTTATATCTTTCCAGCTCCAGTGCAAAAGCCAATGAAGGTGCTCCCCATTGCCACAGCTCAGACTTATGGAGCTCAGCAGCAGATCTTGGAGCAGCTGACCGCTGACGGCATCAAGACTACAGATAACTTACAAGAGAGTGATGTCATTTTGCTCTTTTGTCCTATTCTGCCACAAACCATGTCTGGCCTTGATGCAGCCGTCAGAAAGACTCCAGGTTAGTTCTGAAAACTGTCTCTTTTCTTCTGTGACAAAGTCACCACATGAGCACAGAAGACTGGCTCAATAATAATTGTTTTTATTATTTCATTTTTAATTATAGTATACAAGGTTTGAAAATTAGAAAATCACCAATACGTGTTTCTCCTTAAACACTCTTTAATGACCCAATACCCTTTTTGAGTGAGCATTACATTTCCTGTATATGTCATTCCGAATTCAAACACAATATTTATATCTAAAGCCACAAATGGCAATAAAAACCCTCCCCCCTCCTTGTGCCCCGCCCATATGTGTAGCAGGAACCTGTGTTACACATATGGGTCCTCAAGTTAAAAGAATTTGAAGCCTGATCGGGCCAAGATCGTCATAACAATTTTAAAGGTTTCTGTGCTCCCCTGGTGGTCAGCAGTGGAACATATAGCCTCTCTGTATTGTAACATATTTATTTATAGATCACACTCGGCCAGGTGAAGGCAAACCGGTGGTGTCGGTTCTGATGCATCAAACTTTTGACCCTACTGACAAAGTCCTGGACACAACCTGCTGTAGCACACAGCACCCCTGTTTAAAGGAGGAAGTGCGGGTGCTTTTCCATCAGACTTCAGGACTTCTGAAGTGCCGCAGCAACCAGGAGGCAATGCAGACCCTCAAGACCCTCTGTGACAAGTATGCCACTCCAGGTCAGAAAACCTTCAATTAAAGTGTTCAACCAATGTAGTGTGTCATGTTCAATCCAACATGAAACACTACAAAAACCCAGGCCACGTGGCAGATTAAATGCACTGAATTTTCACACATATATCATAGACAATCAATGCAAAACTTCACTTCATTGTTAAAGCCATCACCTTTGAATCAAATTAGAACAAACATACTGTAATAATATCTCACTATTAGACATAACTCCACTCAACCTATCCCTGAAGAAACACCACTGCTTGAAAATGGTGCAAAACTGGAAATCATAACATGTCTGGTCAAAGGGGACGGTCTGACCGCCGTGTGCAGGAAAGAGAGAGGCCATGTGATTCACAGAGGAAAACAGACAGGAGCAGGCTTTATTTGGAGGCGGTTTGAGCAGTAAAGGTACAGTATCTCTAGAGCTGACAGAGATCATGTGGCGAGTCAAGGCAGCAGACCAGCGCTGCACGTCAAAAAAGCTACAGATAAGCGGACTATCGCTATTATTATCCCTGAGTGCACACCAGGAGCCAGCAGCAATGTCCGGTTACTGGCCCTCATGTATAAAAGTTGCGCAGAAAAGGGTGTATATTTTTTGTGTATATTCCATTTACGCAAGATCCAACGTTGGATTTATGAACGTGTGAGATGCGCATCCTAAATCCCGCGGCTGAAAACAAACGTATTTATGAAAGTCACACCTAGAATTATGCTGCAATCGCCTGTAAAACGCCCTGTTTTTACGACAGGGCAGCAGGAAGCCGGCCAAAAAGACTGTTTTGAAGCGTCAAACGGCACGTTTGTTTGTTCATGTTTATGTAAAAATAAATATACGCTATATATTCAGCTGCGTTTTGAACAAATTTGCAAAAATGTTTTGATAAATTAGAATTTTTTTTCTTGAATTGTAGAAATGAATTAATAAAGAATGAATGAATGCAAAAATATTGTGCAGCGGTGGCTCTCATCAATGAAGCATCTGCAGCGTCTGGTGAATGCACTGAAGCGCTGTACACTTGCGAGAGCGTTTGCAGTCCAGATTTTAATGAGAAACTCTGGAGCCAAAATGTCTGAATGACAGCATTTGAGGAGTTATGTGGCGCGTCTCTCATGGCACCTGCTGTGGATGCACTGCCAAGAGTGCAGCGGGTGGACAGGGCAGTGAGACATTTGGAGTGAGCAATACCATAGTCCATCGGTCCATGCGTTAATCGGGTGTGTGTCTGTGTGAGGCTCACACAGACACACACCCGATTCACACACACACTCTAAAACATACAATGCTTTACCAGATGTGAGGAATACAAATAGCAGTGCGTAATTACGCAGCGCAGAGCCTGCCACAGCAATAGCTGGGTCACACATCCCTGTCGCGTAAAGTGTATTTGTATAGAGCCTTTCACAGTCCAGGATCACAAAGCGCTTCACATTTAAAAAAAACATACAGATCAAAATAATACACACAGAAGTCAGATTTAAATTAAAAACACAGAAGAGGCTCCTCATTATGATCTGTGATTTATTCAAGTTTGCGTGTTTCCAGAGTGTTAGACTTTTTCTGATGCGCAAATTCAAATTCCGTAACACGATGCTTCATGAAAACGCAGCTTATAATTTTTCCAGAGGGAACATGTTTATTGTTGTCCAAATCTTGAATTTCATGCGTGTTTTGGCGTGTTGTGACGAAGGGTGAAATGAGCGTACACATTTACACCACCTATTGACTTCTGTGCGTACCGTACGCCAACGTCCAGATTGATAAATGCGGAAAAGTGTAAATATTTTGCGTACGCCTCATTTACACCCTGATTTGGCCATACGCAAGTTTCATACATGAGGCCCATTGTCAGAGTGCTCACTACTCTAAACAAAATGACATTGTGTAGATGCCATCCATCCATTTTCTACCCTTTAATCCATTTCTGGGTCAGGAGGGTGACAGTCAGAGATGCCACCCAAGTCTCATAGCACCAGCCCCTCACTGACCCTCTGCAGGTGGTGAGTCCACAGGAGGACGGCTGCTCTCTGAGTGTGAGCATAGCCTTGATCTTTCAGTGGGGGCTTTGGGCAAAGTGGGGTTAAGTGTCTTGCCCAAGGACACAACGACAGCAGTCATCAGTGGGAGTCGGTGGAGAAGGTGCAGAGGTGGGAATTGAACCCACGACCTTCTGGGCTTAAGGCCAATGCTCTACCAACTGAGCTACTGTCGCCCCATTGTGTAGATGTAACTACACAAATGCACACACATGCACGAACAAACACAGAAACACACAACAGTATTCTATTGCACTTATACTATAGGTATATAGTCTGTTCACTTTGGTTTGGTCATTGATAGTGTTTATTGTTGTCATTTTGTCAACATCGTCTACATATGATTCTTTAGTTAGGGAGAAAGGAGGTGTAAATATATGAATAACAAAATATACACATCCATACACACACACACTATATATATGTGTATGTATGGATGTGTATATTTTGTTATTCATATATTTACACCTCCTTTCTCCCTAACTAAAGAATCATATGTAGACGATGCTGACTAACTAACTTTCCTCCCCCCCTTCAACCCTTTTATTGCCTATACCTGTATCTCTGCCTGTATGTTTACCTGTACCACTAGGTCCACCTGTATCTGTATCCCTACCCGTTTGTTTACATCTGCTTAAATATATATGTATGTCTTTGTGTCATTGATGTTGTTTTGTATGTCCTTTTTTTTCTGCAATTCATTGCGATTAATTAATTACAAACCCTCAAATTAGATTTTTTTTTTTTAGCCCTAGTTATAACCTTTTAAAATCCAGATACTTTAATTGACACTTTACTGTGCTATATAAATAGATATATATATTATATATACCTATATCTATATTATATATATCTATATATATATAGATATATATATATTATAAAAACCTATATATATATATATTAGGGCTGTCAAACGATTACAATTTTTAATCGAGTTAATTACAGCTTAAAAATTAATTAATCGTATTTCGAACTATTGGCAAAATGATGCCATTTTTTCTGTAAATGTTTGTTTGAATGGAAGGATAAATGATGACATACTGTACATATGTACTCTTTTTTTATTATAACAATAAATCCACATAAAATGGCAATAACATTATTAACATTCTGTCTTTTTGTAGTAAACAATATTTTTTCATCTCAACATATTCCGCCTCTGCTAAAGCCTCCTCTTTCTTCTTCTTCTCTGTCTGTGGCTGTGGATGCTCTTCATTATAGTCTCTACAAACTATTGTTTGTTACAGCGATGAGGGACATTTGAAAACAGTCTGAAATGCATGTCAGCCAATGGCTGTCATTAACTCTGTTTTATTTGCTCACAACATTTCATTTTTGGCCACAAATAACATGAAATGGTAGTGCAAAGGAAAAGTTAGGTATCCCAGCTTTAATTTAGCGTCTTTTTTGCCTCGGGAGAAGACACGGGGGAGACGGACTGTTTCTTGCAGCACTGTTTTTATTGGGTGCACTGGTCACGCCTGTGCGTGATCAGTGCACACAGTGGTCCTGTGCGTGTGTATGGCATTGGGTACATAGCCACGTTACGGCTGCGCGTTCCCGTGTTGTTAAGCCGCTCACAGCTGCTGGACGCGGGAACCGCTGTCCAAAGTGGCCGCAGCTGTCCCAGAACGCTGCGGACTCCCATTCACAGCAATTGCCCCGCAGTCACGCGCGCGGGGTGCCAGTTACTTGGCACATGCGTTAAAAGCGTACATTTTTTTAACGCAATTAATGAAACAAAATAATTAACGCACATTAACACGATAATTTTGACAGCCCTAATATGTAAGGGATAACGTATATTACGCAGGTCATTATCGGAAAATAAGTACCGACAGGGCGAAGCGGACCCCTGTGGAGCAATTTTTTACTTATTTTTATTATACGGCTTTATACCAACAGAACACACAACATAAACTTCAGTCCACTTTTAGGAATGCCGAAAGGTTTATTTAATGACAGAAAATAAAATAGTTCCCAAAGGCTTTCCCATGGCTATGCTAGCAAGTTAGGCTGGCAACTTCCAAACTAGAACTCTCTGGAACTGCATGAAAACTGAACAAAGAATTCTGAACATCAGCGGTGAGTGACCCAAATATAAACCTAACCTAAATCCATAATTCGATCCTCTGCAAATGTGTCCGAAAACGTGCCGGTATCTTAAAATGTGCCGGTATCTACTTCCGGGTTTTTCGGGATCGCCTTTTCTCGCATTACATCAGTGTTTTTGTCATGAAAACGTAAACGGAAAATTCTGAAAACTTCCGTGCACTTGTATTAAGACTGGATATGTATAAATTACTCTCCGATTAACATTTCATTGCGTTGATTGATTGGCATTTGCGTTTATTGAGCGGCCGGAACTACTTCCGGGTTTTTCACGATCGCTTTTTGACGCAGAGAAATAGTATTTTTGTCACGAAGACAAGACCAGAAAATTCTGAAAATTTCCGTGCACGTGTGTGAAGAATGTGTATGTATAAGTATTCTCCGATTAACATTTAAGTGTGTTGATTGAGCGTGGCTAGCTCCGGAGTGGCCAGAACTACTTGCGGAGTTATCCACGCATTTGAAATACAAGCAGAGAGTGCGTTGCCAAAGGGCAGCGGTCATTATTGTTTTGAGAGGTCGGTTATAGAAAATAATGACCGGTAGAACGTTTTGAAATTACATTCAAATCAATGGAGCGTTCTACTGCTGCTGTGAGGAGCCGTTTAATAAATATATATAAAGCTGTATAATAAGCGGGATAATGTAGAGTAGGCAGGTCATTATCAGAAAATAAGTACTTTCAGGGCGAAAGCAGACTCCGACGCGAATTTGCCCTGTCGGTACTTATTTTCCGATAATGACCTGCCTACTATACATTTTCCGGGACATATATTAAACAACATATATTAGGGCTGCCAAAATTAACGTACGTCAAATTTTTTTTTTTTCATTAATCGCTTTTTAAAAATGTACGCGTTTGACGCATGCCCATGCATCCCATAACAACACTCAGAATGCAGCGGACACATGCATGTGTAAGATGGTGACAGAGCAGGAAGGCCCCCTGGGAATCCACGTATTTTAAAAATACACACATGACCACGAGGCACTTGCTGCTGTTTCCTGTACGAACTATGCGAGCTGAGCTGCGGGCGCTCTGGACAGCGCTTCCCACCTCCAGTATATAAACACCAGAAAGCAGTTGATGGTTCTGTAAAGTAGGGTTAAATTTCAGTCAATACAATATCAAATTAGAACGGTAATCCACAAGAATCATAAAACATATTACTTACATGTTACCCGATGAGTCTTATGCTCAGGATGCTTGAGTCAGAGACTATCACACCTAAACACATTCATATGATCCTCATTCAGAATCATGATCCTGCTGCTGTCTCACCACGAGGGCCCTAACAACAGGTCTGCTATTGTCTCTTTCAGACAAAGCAAAGTTTTTGTCTCTCAATAAGAGAGGCTCTTAATAAATGGGGAAAATTATAATGTTTTATGTACTGTAATGTTATGTGTTCACAGGTGGAGCAGAAGGCAAACCGGGGGTGTTGGTTCGGACGCATTCAAACCTAGACGAAGTCCAGAACATTAACTTTGTGAGGGAAAAACATCCCTGCTTAAATCAGGAAGTGCATGAGAAGAACAATGCAACGTCAGGTCAGCAAACTATCCATTTTCTTCTTTTTCCTTCTTCACCCGAGTTTCCGAGACATGCAGCCAAACGTCAGAAGACAAAAGACCTCCGGCCTAGGGTGTCTAAATGAATAATAAAATAAGTGTTACTTATTAACTGCTTAGAGTCATATTATGTATCAAAAACGCTCACACCTCGTTACTGTCTACTTTGGCCGTGCACACGCTGGTGGGCTCTTTCTGTTCTTTCTCCTGTCGATGCGCTGTGGGAGCGCACAGAGCAGCAGTGACAATTGCACATTTTGTGACCGCTTCAGCATAAACAACGCGGAGGATGACGTCTCCTACATTCCTCTGTGCAGTGAAAAAACTGAGCTTCTCTTAATGGTGCCATATTACGCTTTTAGACTTTTCTCTGCTTTAAACATCATTCCAGTGCTATTTGGCCTACACATGTCCAGAGTAGTTTTTGCATTGATTACTTTCAAGCCGTGGTTACAGAGCCAATCTTTCGCTTTCACCCCTGAGGGGCAGCGAAACACCCGGGTCCACATCTAGCATGATTTCAACATTGATGGCATATGACGCGCATTAGCCAGTTTATTTTTTTTAATTTAAAATGGTCCTCGCTGAAACCACGCAACCGAGGTGGCGCTGACGCGCCATTTTTCTACAGCCCAGACGTGAGCAACACTGCATTTTCAATTCCCATGATCAGTGATTGTGCACATCTATTGAAAAGGTAAACCTCATTTTCCCCATGTAACACTTGTATAAGTCCGTAAGGAGCACTAATGCTGCAATTTCATGACTCACACTTTTACTCAAACCCAAGCGTTGAACAATCAATTTATATTTTGTGCAAATCAGACTTTGTATGTGCAAATGGTGGCATTTATGTCGAAAAATAGCGCCCCCTACAATTTCAATTATATAGTCTTATACCATAGAACACCAAAATAATACACTTTTTTGCCAGAAAAAAACGTTACTCAGCCTGTAGGGGGCGCTAAAGGGCCAATGTCATTGTTCACACTGTCATGTGACCTAGGCCCAGGAGTTGAACAACCGAGTCAAGTTTAGTGCAAATCAGAGTTTGTAAATGTGCTCATGTGTGTCCATACAGTCTCCATTGGATAACATGGGAACTTCACACCTCTCTATGAAAATAACCCCACTTTGGGAGTCTGTCATGCGCAGACCGTTTGACTTATTCAAATTCTATATTCAACTATTGATGAATATAGAATTTGCGCCCGGAGATTGTGACTTATAACAGTTACAACGAGTAATGCCTGCAAAAAGCAATAGGCCCTTACCCCAGTTGGGGCTTAAAGCCGCAAGCGGCGTCGAACGGCCCTCGCCGCACAACAATGACGCGCCATTTTTCTACCGCCCTGATGGGAGCGACACTGTGCATTTTGAATGCCTATGATCAGTGATTGTATGTGTCTATGAAAAGGTAAACCTTGTTCTCCCCATGTAACACTTGTATCAGACTGTAGGGGGCACTATTGCTGCAATTTCATCTTTTACACTTTCATTTTACCCAAACCCGAGAGTTGAACAATCACTTAAATTTTGTATGTGCAAATGGTGGCATTTATGTTGTAAAATAGCGCCCCCTACATTTAATTTTTTTTTGTCTTATACCAAAGAACACCAAAATAATACACTTTATGTCTGAAAAAAACTTGTGGCAAAGTTTGGTGAGTTTTTGTGTTTGTTCAGTGGGTCAAATATGAGATCAAACAATAGAAAACCTAAATACCTGTATCCCCATGTAAACCTATATTCAGCCTGTAGGGGGCGCTAATGGGCCAATGTCATTGTGCACACTGTCATGTGACCTAGGCCCAGGAGTTGAACAACCGAGTCAAGTTTAGTGCAAATCAGAGTTTGTGAATGTGCTCCTGTTTGTACATACAATCTGTGAGTGTGTCTATACAGTCTCCATTGGATAACATGGGAACTTCACACCGCTCTATGAAAATAACCACACTTTGGGAGTCTGTCACGCTCAGACCATTTGACTAATTAAAATTCTATATGCAATTATTGATGGTCCATGTGTTGAGACGATGTGGAGCGATTTTCAGACAAATTAGTGAAACGGCCGCGGCTGGTTTGATGTTTGAGCGAGGTGTACTTTTCAGAGATAAAATGATTTTCCCATAGACACAGACAGGGGAGTGTTGGTCGTTGCCACGGCAACAGGGTAAAAAATAACCATATGTTGTCATTAACTTTTTGAATCCAGATGACAAAACAGAATCATGTGCAAAATTTCAAACATTTAAAACAAACTAAATGTTATTAGCCCCATGGAAAACTTTGACATGGTCTGTAGGAGGCGCTAATGAGCCAATTTCAATACTTCCACTTTCAAATAACCTAGACCCTGGAGCTGAACAATGGATACAAATTTTGTGCAAATCAGACTTTGTTTGTGCAAACGGGAGCAAATTTACTTTTGTCAAAAATAAAAAATAAAATGTCACATTTTGCCGCTCCGCTGCTCGGACAACGTTTAACTGATCCAAATTCTATATTCAATAGTTTATGGTACATGTGTTTAGACCATGTGGAGCGATTTTGAGACAAATCAGTGAAACGGCCGAGGAGGAGAAAATTTCCAACCGACGTGTGAAAAATATCAATTTTCATTTTTCCATTTTCCATTGAAATTAATGAGCTCCCTGTTTGTCAGGGGGCGGAGCCATAATAACTTTTTTTTCAAGTCTTGACTTGAGGAACATTTGTATCGAATTTCGTGGCTCTACAACTAACACTGACTTTTGTAGGGGGCGCTATTCTGACATTTTTTCAGTCCCATAAAAATAAACATAAAAATAAAATAAACCAATATAGGTTTCCATAGTAACCTATAATACAAATGATACATCGTACAAATGAATCCCCCTTTAATAGGACTTATATCATTTCACTGTGTACTACAGCAGGAGCAAAGCCATTCCTTTATCAGTGCTTGGGCACCTGCCGTCGCGTGCAGGTCACAATCTCCGGAGATTGTGACTTATGACAGTTACTTACTCGTTGGAAAAGCAATAGGCCCTTACCCCAGCTGGGGCTCGGGCCTGAAAAAAAGGTTTTCTCCTACTGGCTTTGGCTTCATTTACTCTCAGTGTATTATCAAACGATCTTATTATTTTCCAGTGTTGTAGTAGAACTTGTTCACTGATTGCATACATTTTTTTTCTGTTTAGCTTCAGAAGAAGTCAAGCCAGTGAATATGTTCACCATCATCATGGGTGAGACCTCCCAGGCTTTCCAGAAGCTCCTGGAGAAACTAAGTTCACATTCACCTCGGATCACAAAGAGTGAGGACATAGATGGATGTGACGCCATCCTTGTCATCTCTTCATTCCAGTCCTGGCACAGCGCTTATATGAAAACGGCTTTGGAAACGATTCCAGGTTTGACTATACACTGAATAACCTGAACTTTCTAAACTAGACACAGCCAAATTAGAATTGATCTAATATGTGATGTTTTCACACAGCCCCAGACAAACCGGTGGTGTTGGTTCTGGTTCATAAGCCTGGTTCATTCCAACCAGGAACAAGACTTTGTGCAGAGTTTCCCACTCTAAAGGAGGAGGTGCACATTGAGTATAATTACACAAAGAACCAACTACAGGAGTGTGACATGAACCAAAAGGCCATCGAGGACCTCAAGAAGCTTTGTGACCATTTCTGCAGCACTGGGTGGGAGATGATGCAAATGGAAATATAAGCACTCTTTATTGAGAAGCCTGTGTCTAAAAGATGACAATAACATAACAAATGTAACTTCTTTGATAATTAACTTGTAATCTGAGCTTGAAAAAACACTGGGTTTTACTAATCACTGTATTGGTCAGAAATGTAGTTATGTGTGGACATATTATTATGAATTGAAGTCTCCACATGTCTGGTTTGAATGTAAATCATTTATCCTTTTCACAATAAATAAAATATTAAAATATGTGTGATGTTTGTGTACAATACTACTGTGCTTTTACCACTCAATGTCCTCTAGAGGGAGCTAAAGTACTAGTACAGTTTTTTACTATTGCTTGAACATATTTTGCCAAATTTCGCTCATTGTCCCAAAACTCTACACACAAGAACCTGACACAACACTGGGACGTAAACCATTCACATCTGTCTCAAAATGAAACTATCAAAACTCGGTAACACTTTATAGTAACTACACCGTATTTAGGCTTAATAAATGTTTAAATAACTCTTAATTAATCATGCAAAATTCATTAATTAAGTGTGAAAAATACTTAATAACTACTTTACTACAGTTAATAAATGCTTAACTAATAATTAATCTTCAAGTTCTTCACTTCACATGATTATTTAATGATTTAATAATTATGAAGTAACCATTTGTTACTACATATATAGATGATTTGTTACACCATGATTAAACCACATGTTAATGATTAATAATTGTATATTTCATTATAAACTATTACTGCAGTGCATGATTTATTCAGTCAGTTACTAACAGTTAAGAGTTTTTGTGAGCTTTTGTAAAGTTTACACTATTTACACTTTATTACACATTTGTTAAAGACCCTTTAATATAATAATTCATCATTTATTAATAATAATAATAATACATTTTATTTAAAAGCGCCTTTCAAAACACCCAAGGACACTGTACAGGCATAATAAAAACATTTAAAAACAGGATAAACAGAATAAAACAGTAGTCAGGTGCAATATGGGATGGTGTGTGTGTGTGTGTGAGTTAGGAGGGTGTGTGTGTGCGTATGTGTTAGGTGTGTGTGTGTGTGTGTGTGTGTGTGCGCGCGTGTGTGTTAGGTGGGGTAGGACAGTCTGAACAGATGGGTTTTGAGTCGGGATTTGAAGAGTGGAAGAGCAGGAATGTGAGGGTGGAGGAGGTCAGATAAGTACGGAGGGGCCAGGTTGTGAAGTGCTTTGAAGGTGGTGAGGAGTATTTTGAAATTGATGCGCTGTTTGACAGGAAGCCAGTGGAGTTGTTGTAGTACGGGGGTGATGTGGTGAGCTGTGGGGGTCCGGGTGATGATACGAGCTGCAGAGTTTTGGAGGAGCTGCAGTTTCTGGAGGGATTTGTTGGGGAGGCCGAAGAGAAGTGAGTTGCAGTAGTCAATCCTTGAGGTGACGAGGCTGTGGACGAGGGTGGCGGTGGTGTGGGGGGTGAGAGAGGGGCGGAGACGAGAGATATTGCGCAGGTGGAAGTAGGCAGACCGAGTGATGTTATTGATGTGGGATTGGAAGGAGAGTGAACTGTCGAGGATGACACCCAGACTCTTGACTTGAGGGGAGGGGAGGACAGATGTGTTATGGATGGAGATTGAGAAGCTGGTAGATTTGGAGAGAGTGGAGGGGGTGCCTATGAGAAGGACTTCAGTTTTTGAGCTATTGAGTTTGAGAAAGTTGGAAGAGAACCAGGAATGAATTTCTTGTAGACAGAGGGTGAGGGAGGATGGAGGGAGAGAGGAAGATGGTTTAGCGGAGAGGTAGAGCTGGGTGTCATCCGCGTAGCAGTGGAAGTGAATGTTGTGACGGCGGAGGATGTGACCGAGTGGGAGAATATAGATGATGAAGAGGAGGGGCCCCAGGACAGAGCCCTGGGGGACACCAGCAGAGACAGGAAAAGTGCGGGATTTGTGGGATTTGAGATGAATGAACTGTGAGCGACCAGAAAGATAGGAGGTGAACCAGGCGAGGGGGGTGTGGGTGATGCCGATGGAGGAGAGTCTGTTCAGGAGGGTGGAGTGAGAAATGGTGTCAAAAGCTGCAGTGAGGTCCAGAAGGATGAGGATGGAGAGTAAACCGGAGTCAGAGGCTATGAGGAGATCGTTAGTGATTTTTAGAAGAGCTGTTTCGGTGCTGTGGAGGGGACGGAAACCAGACTGAAATTGTTCGTAGATGTTGTTGGTGGTGAGGTGGTTGTGGAGTTGAGCAGCGACAGATTTTTCAAGTATTTTGGAGATGAAGGGAAGGTTTGAGATGGGACGGAGGTTGTTGAAGTTGGTTGGATCCAGGCCAGGTTTTTTGAGAATGGGTGAGACTGAGGCGGTTTTGAATGAGAGAGGGACAGTACCAGAAGTGAGAGATGAGTGAATGATATTAGTGATGAGGGGGGCAGCTGAGGGGAGGCAGGATTTGACCAGAACGGTAGGGAGAGGGTCGAGCTGAGAGGTAGAAGGTTTGGATTTAATGATAAAGTCGGAGATGGCTTGGACGGAGGGCAAGATGAAGCTGGAGAATGTGGCTATGAGGGATGAGTAGGGGGCTGGGGGGTCCACTCCAGAGACTGCAGCTCCATGTGGGGTCAGGTGTTGGTGAATGTCAGAGATCTTGGAGGTAAAGAAGGACATGAGTGAGTTACAGAAGTCAGTGGATTGCATATGGTGAGGGAGGGAGTCAGGGGGTTTGGTTATATTGGTGAGAAGAGAGAAGAGAGTTTTGGAGTTTTGATGATTGGAGTGGATTAAACCGGAGTAGTAGGTGGATTTGGCAGCAGAGAGATGGTCCTTGTATAGCATGATGTGGTTATTGTACATTTGTTTGTGAATGGTGAGTCCAGTTTTATTGAAGAGCCGTTCAAGTTGACGTCCTTGGGATTTGAGCTGACGGAGGGCAGTGGTGAACCAGGGTGCTGAGAGCGTGAAAGAGACGGGTCGGGTTTTGAGAGGAGCATGATTGTTCAGGAGGTTATGGAGAGAAGTGTTGTAGTGGGAGACCAGGTCATCGGGGGAGTCATTGGGATCAGTAGTGGGGAGGTTATTGATATCTGAGGCGAAGGTGGCAGTGTTTATGTCCTGAATTTTACGGAAAGAAATGGTTCGGGGAAGGATGGTCTTGGAGAGGGTGAGGTTGATATTGAAGGTGATGAGCTTATGGTCTGTGTATGGGAGTGTGTGAGGTTTACAGTCAGTGGGAGTGAGACCAGAGCAGCAGATTAAGTCCAAAATGTGACCTTTAGTGTGGGTGGGGAAATGAATGTGTTGTTGTAAACCAAAACTATCTAAACAGGAGGAGAAGTCTTTGGTGAGAGGGTTGCTATTATTGTCCATGTGAATGTTGAAGTCCCCAAGTATGACTGCGTTATGAGAGATAGATGAGAAGTGTGTTAGAAGGTGAGAAAAGTCATCTAAAAAGTCCTTATTAAGTTTTGGCGGGCGGTAGATGGTGGCAACAACAGTAGGAGAAGGTCCAGGCAGCAGTGAGGCAGAGTACTCGAAGGAGGAGAAGACAGGGGCAGCAGGCACAGGTGTGACTTTCCAAGTCTCGCGGTGAAGCATCGCGAGACCTCCGCCCCGGCGGCCACAGCTGCGGGGCTGGCAGATGTAAACAAACCCCGGTGGAGTGGAGTCGTTCAACGCGGCAAAGTCATTTGGCTGCTGCCAGGTTTCGGTCAAACACAAGAAGTCCAGCTTACGGTCGACGAGGACATCCCGGACCAGATGGCCCTTGGTGTTGAGGGAGCGCACGTTGAGGAGACCGAAGCTGACGGTGGTGGAGCTGTTCTTGGCTGCCGCGGGCTGAGCCGATCGGGCCACGCTGACCAGGACACTGTCAGCGTCCCGACCAGCGGCGTTTGTTCTGTGAGCAGCGGCTGCCAAAGCGCGCCAGCGTTCACTCACTGAACCAATACTGGTTAATACTGCAGTGCATGACTCATTAGTCAGTTACTAACAGTTAGTTAAGAGTTTTTGTGAGAAAAAACACAAGGATGACTAACTCTTTCGTACAACAATAATAAGCCATGAGACATGAATACAGAATATATATTCATCTTTTAAATTGCATTACAAAGCTATAACAGGGCCATAACAATGAAACCAATCAAAGGCCTCCATATTGGCCCCATGAATTAAAAACACATCTTTGCAAAACATGCACAAACATACATTAACATTGTGAAGAATGGAGGTTCTTTTATGGTTGGGGACACTATCGACAGGATCTTTTATCAGCTGTGTTGCAGGTTTGGCAGGAGATCACAGTCTGTACATTGTATGCGGAGGAAACAGAAACAGACAAAGGAAAAGAGTATTAATAATTATTCTATAGCAAATAACACATTAAACAACCAATAGCTTATGTGTCTGGGCAAACCACAAACAGAGGTAGCTCAAATGGAAACTGTCATTATAAAGGTTCAGGAAAATAAATGACAAATAATAATAGCATAATTAGCTTAATGTAGCATAGTTAGCTTGATTAGCTGCAGACAAACGCAGATCGGGAAAACTCTCTTTTGCAATAATTAGAAATTACGCAACATAAATCTTCCTTCACAAATTCGTCTAAAGATCACAAGAACTACAGGAGCTTACTTCTTGGGTCATAAAAATGCACAAACAATGTACAAAGTCATGATTCACTATAGTTTAAAACTATTCTAATCAATTTACAAATATGTTTGCATATTTGCTTTGAGCCATATTCTTAAACATATATTTTAATCTAATAAATCTCTCTGTGGTTTACTTTCATTATCAGTGGCTTTGTGTCAGTGGGATTTTGCTCTATGTCTATTCAGGAATAAAACTGAACACAGAAAGACAAATGGTTAATATGAACATTATTTTGGCGGTCAGTTTTCCAAATACATTTGTTGAACCAGGAAGTGATGTCACTTCCTCCTCTCAGGCAGTTTGGGATGATTGTACATCAATAATCAAAGATGTACAATCATGCGCGTCGGGGTCCGCTTTGCCCTGTCGGTACTTATTTTCCGATAATGACCTGCGTAATATACGTTATCCCGCTTATTATACGGCTTTATACCAACAGAACACACAACATAAACTTCAGTCCACTTTTAGGAATGCCGAAAGGTTTATTTAATGACAGAGAATAAAATAGTTCCCAAAGGCTTTCCCGTGGCTATGCTAGCAACAGTTAGGCTGGCAACTTCCAAACTAGAACTCTCTGGAACTGCATGAAAACTGAACAAAGAATTCTGAACATCAGCGGTGAGTGACCCAAACATAAACTTAACCTAAATCCATAATTCGATCCTCTGCAAATGTTCCTAAAATGTGCCGGTATCTTAAAATGTGCCGGTATCTACTTCCGGGTTTTTCGGGATCGCCTTTTCTTGTATTACATCAGTGTTTTTGTTATGAAAACGTAAACGGAAAATTCTGAAAACTTCCGTGCACTTGTATTAAGACTGGATTTGTATAATTCACTCTCCGATTAACATTTCATTGCGTTGATTGATTGGCATTTGCGTTTATTGAGCGGCCGGAACTACTTCCGGGTTTTTCACGATCGCTTTTTGACGCAGAGAAATAGTATTTTTGTCATGAAGACAAGACCAGAAAATTCTGAAAATCTCCGTGCACGTGTGTGAAGAATGTATATGTATAAGTATTCTCCGATTAACATTTAAGTGTGTTGATTGAGCGTGGCTAGCTCCGGAGTGGCCAGAACTACTTGCGGAGTTATCCACGCATTTGAAAGACAAGCAGAGAGTGCGTTGCCAAAGGGCAGCGGTCATTATTGTTTTGAGAGGTCGGTTATAGAAAATAATGACCTGTAGAATGTTTTTAAATTACATTCAAATCAATGGAGCATTCTACTGCTGCTGTGAGGAGCCGTGTAATAAAATCTCATTAATCTAAGCTACATTAACTCATTCACTGCCAGCCATATATGAAGCAACATCCCTCATACTGCCAGAGATTTTGTCTGTTTCTAGTGTTTTTCCAAACCGCATAGAAATGTGAGCCCTTTCGTGACACAAGTATGAAACATACCAATTGAAAGCTCTATCCCTTGGCTTTCATTTAAAAAAAAAAAGTAAGTTTCTACCCCTTTCAGTTTTTTAGCAATTGAGAGTACAACATAGGTAACTTTCACATAAAACACTGTTTCCAGACCAAGAAATGGAGAAAACACTTTTTGTGAAAAACACATTTTCAAGCAGAAAAGTTTTGTTTTTTTCTTGAATGACATTTAAAATGTATGAAATAGTTTTGTATAATGACACAAAACAGAAACAATACTTAGAATTGTATTTTTTATGTCAAAAAATGTTTTAACAAATAAAACAATGTGCACACTATGCACTCACAGTATTGTCGTATGTACACAAAATAATCAACTTGTACACAATAAAAAACCCTTTGTATACAAATATACAATAAACAAACTTTATAAACTAAAGGAAATTGTTTCACAAATAATAATCACGGCGAGTATGGTAGTCCGTGAAACACTCTGCGTGTAAAGGGACACAACAGGATGAGCACCACATTTTAGTTTCACTGCGCTTCCCCTTCCGCACACAGACCCTACACCTTCTCGCTGGTCTCGACTTTCTAGATGTGGGTCTCATGTGTTCCAGCCGGTCTCGACTAAGCTCCCCATCAAGTCTACTGGCTGGGTCAGTGTTGTAGGGTGCTCTGGAACACCTTCCTTCCTCCAAGCTCACACCCCCCTGTGCACCTTCGCCTGCACCTACACCAGCATCTCCATCTCCCCTCTCCTCCACCTCTCGGCACTTTACCGTCCAGCACTTCACCACACTGTGAATAAAGTCCAGGAGGGATTTACCTACTCCTGGGTGTTTTGCACGGTAAATCACATATGCATTGAACATGCAGAGTTGGGAAACATACGATACAAACTTTTTGGACCAGTTCAGGGACCTGCGAACAAAAGGATAATGCGCAATATTTTGATCCAACTTGTCCACCCCATTCATGTTCGAGTTGTATGCAACCACACACTCCGGCTTCAACACTCTGGACTTCTCCCTCTGTCCCTTCTGCCACACCTCAACTGCCTGCATTGTGTCTTGGTGGCAGGTGGTCACCATCTTCACAAGACGTTTGTCCTGCCAGGCTACAATCAGCACCCTCTCATTGTGTCGCACAACTTTACCTCCCACCCCTGTGAATATTTAATTACTGTTTGCTGTTAAAGTATCATGTTATATAGTTGAAAAGAGTTTAGAAGAAACACTTGTACTTTGAACTGCTTACAAAAGCATAAAGCAGATAAGATATTGATGTATATAACATGGGATAGTGCTATCTCGTGTACATTGGAGTTTGGCCCCTTACACAAACATGCTTATATCACAATTATGACATCTTCGGCCAACTCAACTGAACATTGAAACCATACGCTTTCTTCTGCATAGTCATGCTATGCATAGTCATGCTTATGTAATCATTTACAGTGTATATAAGGAGTAACCCGTGATTTTACGACAGACTTCTGCAGACAAGACTCCTGACGAGAAGCTGCGTTATGCTTGTTCAGACTACGCTCAAACCTTCTGACAATAAAACTTCATTTTGAACTATACGCAGTTTTTGTCAAAGTCTCATTTTTGGTCTTACGTCTGGGATCTTTCACACCCCCAAGTTGCTCTTTGTCACCTCTCTGAATATGTTGGGCTCTCCCCTATTTGTCCTGAGTGTACCACATACATTTGTCGTATCCTTCAATAAACGCTCACACAGTGCCACTGAATTATAAAAATTGTCCATGTAGAGTGTGTACCCTTGACCTGGGAGACGATCCAGAAGGTCATACACGATCTCCGGCAGTGTACTGGACTCCCCAACATAAGGCCGCATATTAAAACAATACCCTGTCCCAGAGTATGTATGACTTAATACCATACTTTACTGGTTTTTGAGGGTTATAAACCCTAAAGGCAAGCCTTCCCCGCCACTGCATCATTCCCTCATCGATGGATATATTTTGATGAGGCTGATACAGCTCCCTAAACTTGGTCACAACGTAATCTAACACAGGACGAACTTTATACATTTTGTCTGCATAATCAGTTTTTGAATTATCATTGTAATGCAGACATTTCCAAATTATTTGAAATCGATTCCTCGACATTGTTTGGCTGAAGTGCAGGGTGGAATCAACTTCATCCACGTTCCAGTACATCTCAAGATTGTGTTTTTTGACATACCCAGTTAGAAATGTCAAACCAAAGGAGCGCCAGTGCGCATGCGTGGGATGTAGACGTGTCTAGCTTGTGCTCTCCACCACAACTCGTGCAAATCATCTAAAATCACTAGAAAATTGTTCAAGACCTGGTATTTTATTGGTCACTCGCCTATCTCTTCTGTTGAACTTCGCCAATTTGAAAATGTCGCCGCAAAGAAACCCTCCTGGAAAGCCCAAGACCCTCGATGGATTCGTCAGCAATGCCAATGCTAGTGGGGCTAATGCTAGCGATCCCTCTGCTAAGCCTCCGTCCGCCACTTCACATGACAAGTCTCACATGTACGAAATGTGCAAAGAAATATGTAAGGAAATGTCAGAGAAGATTTTGGAGAGACTAGACGAGCGCTTTTAATGCCTTCGACACCAAGTTACAGTCTGTGTCCTCCATACAAGCTGACCTGCAGAACCGCATGGTCAGTCAGGAGCAAGCTACCAGCGCACTTGACGAGCGTGTGGAAGTGCTCGAAGCCAATTATCAAGATTTATCGAGGTACGCCAGCCAGCTCCAAACCAAACTACTGGATTTAGAAGCACGGTCTCGCAGACATAACATCAAGATTGTTGGTATAAAGGAAGACTCAGAAAAAGGAAACCCGACTGACTTTGTTTCCAAACTTCTTCCTGAGCTGCTGGGGGAACGACACTTTCCCTCTCCATTAAAAGTCGACCGTGCGCATCGCTCACTGCAACCTAAACCAGCGGCGGGTGACAAGCCACGCACCATCATGGGTTGCATTCATCATTTTACGCCTGAGTAGGACGCAGCCAATGGTGTATAAAGGTAACAAAGTTTTTATCTTCCCGGATTATACTAACGAAGTGATGAGCCAGCGCCGTGCATTTCGAGACGTGATGAAAGCCCTGAGAGATGGAGGAGTTAAGCATCACTTACGCTACCCGGCCAGGCTTCATGTTTACTGGGATGGAGAGGAGGGTACCCCGGAGGTCTTTAAAGATCCAGCGGCAGCTGAGGCGGCTCGTTTACGCACGGAACGTGACGCTTCGACAGATGGTTAAAGAAGGAGATGACCTTTTTTATTTTTTTTGTTCTTTGAAGGTGAGCATTTCGTCGTTCTATGTGAAATGCGGCACACTGTTGAATGTTCTCTTTTTTTTTTTTTTTTTTTTATTGCGTGTTAATAGATTCTTCAGGCCCATGACAATAAATGTGTTGAAACGCAGGCCAATTTTCCAACAGCCGCATTTCATTTTGTTTTTCCGAGATGTAACGTAGCTTTCAATTTTCTAACTAATACTCAAGTTGTGGTGGGGGGCGCTGTTCGGGTTGAGCCTACTATTTGTCCAGCAGCTCCCGTTATGGCAAAGAGCGGAAGATACGCGTCAGGTTCAGGGGACGCGGAGGTGAGGGAGGGGTGGGTCTGTGTTGTTCTTGTTGTTCTTGTTTGGCTCAGATGCACATGTGTTACTTGTTGTTTGTATTTGGTATTGCAACAGATATTGTATTTTTTCTATTTTTTTTCAAGATGACTCAAGTACATGGTAAAATGGATGTGGGAGAAAAAGAGTTACAACTGATATCATGGAACGTAAAAGGGCTTGGTAGTGCAGTCAAAAGGGGTAAAGTTTTTAAACATCTGAAATCTCTTTCTGCTGATATAATCTTTTTGCAAGAGACGCATATAAAAACAGCCATGCAGCATAGATTGAAGTGTAATTGGATATCTCAGATATACTGTATCAGTCGCCATTTACCTCACATGCTCGTGGTGTAGCAATATAGATTCGAAAAAATATTCCGTTTCAAGTAACTGCTGTTAACAATGACCCTTATGGTAGATACATATTGGTTTCTGGTACTATAAATTCATTTTCATTAACCCTGCTTAATATCTATGGTCCGAACACAGATGATCCCAATTTTTTCAGGGAGGTTTTTGATCTGCTTCCAGACAATACTCCAACATAATAATAGCCGGGGATTTTAACTGCTATCTGGATCCTTTCATGGATAGGTTATCTACACGTTCGGCACCAGAAATAGCATCTGTAAAACTTCTAAACAACCTTTTAAGAACTAGAAATTTAGTTGATATTTGGAGGATTCAGCATCCTACAAACAAAGCGTATTCATTCTACTCAAATGTCCACAAATCATACAGTAGGATTGATTATTTTTTGACTAGCTCTAACCTTATTTCTCAGATCACAAATTCCAAATATTATAATATTTTGATTTCTGACCACAGCCCCTTAGCAATGTCGTTAAATATTTCCCTTCCAAAACAGACTTACTCTTGGCGTTTTAATCCAAACCTTCTCAGTGATGACAACTTTATTAAGAATATAACTTCTAAATTGAAGAACTTCATAGAACTAAATGATAATGGTGAAGTGTCTGATTCAACCCTGTGGGAAACATTAAAAGTAGTTTTGCGTGGTGATATAATCTCTTACACCTCAGCCATAAAAAAAAAAAGCGAGATGAGACTTTGTGAAATCAACAACACTCTTCCTGCTTTGGAAAGAATTTACCAAAATTCTAAATCACCGGATCATTATAAAGAGATATTGAAGCTCAAATATGAATACAATAGTATCATGAGCAGCCAAGATAAGAATCTACTTTTGAAATTGAGGCAGAAACAATTTGAGCTTGGAGATAAACCCAGCAAACTCCTAGCACAACAATTTAAGTAGAGATTGAACAGAAGAGGTCCCAGGATCCACAGGTCAGGGCCATATGATCTGAGACACAGTTTCCAATCTCCACAAAGTACTCCCTGTGGAGTAACCAACCCAGTCCTCCAATCTCTGTAAGAGGATCTCATGGTCGACGGTGTTAAAGGCAGCACTCAGATCTAACAAGATTAAGATTGAGACTTTGCCTGCGTCAGTGTTCAGCCGGATATCGTTTGTAACCTTGACGAGAGCAGTCTCAGTGCTGTGGTGGGGTCTAAAGCCAGACTGAAACATATCAAATGAGTTGTTGATTATAAGAAATCTAGTAAGCTGTAGGTAGACAACTTTCTCAAGGACTTTCCCCATAAATGGCAGATTTGAGATGGGACGATAGTTGTTAAGTACCATAGCATCCACACTGCTCTTTTTTAGCAGGGGCCTGATGACTGCAGTTTTCAGGGCCTTTGGGAATATTCCAGAGTGAAGGGACATGTTTACTATCTGTGTGAGTGAAGGTAACAGACTGCTCAGAACAGGCTTCAGAAATCTAGTGGGTAGTACATCCAGGCTGCATGTGGAGGAGCTCAGACTGGAGATTATTTCTTGGACAGTTTGAACATTTACAGGTGCAAAGTGAGTTAGCTCAGAGAGCCTTTCTTGTTGTTGGATGGTTATCTGTGGATTGGAGACAATGGCGTTTTTGATGCCTTGAACCTTGTCATTGAAAAAATGTGCAAACTCATTGCATTTACGTTTGGAAGTAAGCTCTAATGGCATCTGAACAGGGGGGTTTGTTAATCTATTAACTGTTGAGAACAGAACATGCAGATTGTTGCTGCAGCCTTCAATTATTTCAGAAAAAATACCTTTCTCTCGTACTACGTAGCACCCGGTTAAACTCGCACAACTTATCTTTGAAGATCTCGTAATCAACCTGGAGGTTGGACTTTTGCCACTTCCGCTCGGCCCTCCGGCACTTTCTCTTTTGTGCCCTGACCGAGTCTGCTTTAGCCCACGGCGCCTTCTGCTTATTTTTCACTATTTTAACCTTCACAGGGGCAACGGTATCCAGAACATTCAAAACACTAGAGGTGACAGAGTTAAACAGTTCATCTACAGGAGAGTTTATCATTCCCATAAATAGATCACTCGTATTTTCATTTATGCGCCTTCTTCGAACAGTTGCAGAGTCCACTGGTGGTTTGTTAGAGAAACACATGTCAAAAAAAACACAGAAATGATCCGAAAGAGCAACATCGACCACGTTTACGTTTGAAATATTCACCCCCTTAGTATCTAACAGGTCTAGAGTGTGCCCTCTGCTGTGGGTGGGGCCACTCACATGCTGAGTGAGACCAAAGGATTCAAGTACAGAACTCAGCTCATTTGCATTTCTGTCATTAAAATTATCCACATGAATATTAAAATCACCTGTAATAACCAAACTATCAAAATCTGTGCATACAACTGAAAGCAACAAGGTAAAATTATCAATAAAACTGTGACATGACTGCGGTGGCTTGTATAGGACAATGAAGAGTATTGGAGGAGATTGTTTTTGTTGTATTTTAAAAGACACATATTCAAATGACGAAAACTTCCCAAGAGACATTCTATGGGAGACAAAGTGGTCTCTAAAAATGGCAGCTATGCCTCCTCCCTTTTTGTTTTCCCGTATTTCCACATTTGGTGGTGATGCTTCAATTAAAACTGCATTTCCTGAGTTTTGGTCAAGCCATGTTTCAGCCATGAACATAAGATCAAGATTATGAGAACAAATAAAATTATTGATTAAAAAAGACTTGTTACAAAGAGATCTGACATGATGATGGTGATGGTGTTGAGATCCTTTGAGAAGGTGGAGGAGCAGAGACTTTTGGAGTGGGCTTCCTCCCTTTTGATGGCTGCACGCGCTGAGGTCTTGTCAATTGATTTGTTGTTGTTTGTGTTGTATAGTCAACTTCTGCACTTGTCTGGTCCAAACTTTCATCTTCTTCCTCATCACTATTAACCAAGTCTTCCTCCATATCCTTAGAAGTAGGAGTCCAATCCTTATCCTCTACATCAGGGGTCGGCAACGTTTGTGACATGGAGTGCCAGTTTGAAATTTTCTTCTCATCTAGTGTGCCATTACCATCGATAAATGCAAAGTTAAAATATGACACAAAATACATAAACATTTCCAATATACCTGGAATTTTTTTCTCAACAATAACAGTATCTGTATTCAAAATAATTTAGCCACATCAACATTTCAAAGACTGAAAAAACAGCTAGTGTAGCATATAACAATATTAAGTCCAGTAAACTGATTGTATTTGGGCTCAGACCAGAAGCTAGGATTGGGCTCACAGAGGGAGAGGTGTTTAAAATCACAGACAACAAAGACAGTGGTATGATCCAGATGTGAATTATGTTCAAAGATAGATATTAGGGGTGCATCGGTTTGAAAAAAAATCACGGTTCGGATCGTACCTCGGTTCAGAGGCCACGGTTCGGTTCATTTTTCCCAAAAAAAAAGGCTCCTGTGGACTCCACCTGCAGGAGGATCAGTGAGGGGCTGGTGCTCTGTGTACTGGTGTAGCTCTGACTGCCACCCCCCTGACCTAGAAATGGATTAAGGGGAAGAAAATGGATGGATGGATGGAAGGCATATTCCATCCATCCAATTATGTCTTTTTAACATAATTAATGAAAAACAACACAAAGTGCAACATAAGAAGGCACTTTATGAGGGTATTTACCCTCATACATTAAACCACCTGATTCTCCCGAGGAGGCGCTCCATCCTGGGCCCAGCCTCATTCACTGCATTTATTTAATTTTTGGCATTATCAGTTGTGACTGGGATATTAGTACTGGGCCTTTGTCTTCCATTTTCCTCCACTGCTGTGTCAGTACCTGCGCTGCTGTGTGACTGTCGTAGAGGGGGGCGTGTCTGCAGTGCCCAGACCTATCATCTCCCAGTCTGCAGTGATGAAGTGAGCGGTTATCGTAACATCTCATGGATCAACCGCTCACGGATCTATTATACGGTATGTTCCGCGGGACGTCCAAGCGTCAGTCGTGAGCGCAGCTGAGGATGTGCGGGAGAGTTGATCGATCGTATTTACTCTTT